TTATCACTTATCATATCATGTGAGGAAGAGAGTAAAAGCACGAAGGATGATGTCGTGTCATTTCATTATCATATCATTATTATATGTCAAGGATGAGAGTAAAAGCACGAATGGCTATGCCGTGCCATTTTAATTATGATATTACATGGTGAAGACGAGAGTAAAAGCACAAAGGGTGATGTTGTGTTATTGTTGATTTCACTGCTTTACTTGATTTTCGGTTGATGATTAGTTGGTTGTATTGTTGTTGTTTTCGGAAAAGGTTATTTGGTAAGTTTGTACTTGCCGTTCTTATCGTACTCCCCTTTCTACATGTCCCTCCCAGTTAATATTTTAACTGCCCTACTTGTTATTTTGTTGCTTTATGTATATATCTATGCAGGATTTAAGTAGGTGTCTTGTCATAGTCTCGTCACTACCTTGTCGAGTTAGGCTCGACACTTACGGAGTACATTGGGTCGGTTGTATCTGTGCTGACTCTTGCGCTTCTTGTGCAGATACTGGTGTTGGTCCCATTGGTGTCTAGGGGTGCTCCTGTTCGGATCATATTTACAGCGGAGACTTGAGGTAGAGCTGCTGGCATTCGCAATCCCGAAGTCCCCATCTATATCTATTTACTGTTTATCTTATTTCGAAAAGTTGTGCTTATTTCAAATCATATTTATAGACTTCTAGTTGCTCATATACTGGTGACATCAGATTTGTGGGATTAGAATAGATTGGGTTGTGGTATGGATTTATTTCATGTATTATAGCTTTATTTATCGTTAATAATTGCTATTACTCTGTTTAAAACTGTTAAAATGTTAAAGTGGTTATCTAGTTTTGGCTTTCCTAGCAAGTAGACGTTGGGCGCCATCACGGCCCTGAGATTGGGAATCCGAGTCGTGACATATATTATAATATACAAAGAAGAAAACTAAAATCTTGATATACAATGAAGAAAAATATTTTATTATGTACACGGAAGGGAAATAAACTTGTGATACACTTTTTGATATATACATTATTTGATGTGTTATACACAGTGATATACAAACAATAAAATTATTTCTGTTGTGATATGCATTTATATAGAGGCAACATATATTTATAATTTTTATAGTTTAGATATACAAAAATAGGAAAATAAAAATTTAATATACATACACATAGAGGAAAAAGAAATTTATGATATACATTTTGATATACACATTATTATTATGATATATATTTATTGCTATTTGATGCTAATATCTATAACTAGAGAATTTTTTTTGTGCTAATTATATGAGTATTGTTATGAACTCAACAAGACGATGCCTCGATTAAACTTCCAAATAAACTAATTACAATAGAAATACAAAGGATATAATCATAAGCTAAGAAAATAGCAACAGAAAGAAAGGAGATGAGGGAGACAGAGCCAGAGAGAGAAATAGCGGGGGAGAGAGACCAGAGAGACGGAAGTTTCTACAATATTTTCAGCCTATCCTATCTGTGTTCACGCCTAGTCCCTTTTAACTGATTCCTTATTGCACTTCTTGGGCCTGGATCCCAAATTAATCTTTTTGAAGGTCTTCTGGCCCTGTGGCTTCTTCTCGACCCAATAGTTCTTCTAAGCCCAATAGCTTGATTCATAACAATACTCACGTCCTCAAAAAGAACCTTGTCCTCAAGGTTCAAGTTAAGTATATAAACGCCACAAATAGGTTCTACTCATCAATACAATTCATTTCCAAAAGAGATGTGGAGTACTCCCTTGTAAAATGTACTGTAAAGTCTACTTCGCTAAGGGAAAATGTATGTTTTACCGTGGCAGCATCCAAGTCCAACATCCTTTTGTATGTTTCTGAGAAAATGCCATCGGTGCCTTTATGCATATGCAATTGTGCCACCATAAATGCATCATAATTGACAAAAATGTCAACAAAAGTTGCCACCCCTTCCTGGTGTTCCACTGTTGACTTAATTACTGTAGTTTTTGTGCCCATGCCAAGATCGTCACAATATCCACCCCTCGTGACCGTGAAAGAACCACTAGCATGAGATTCCAACACACAACGTTCAGCATTGACACCAGCAAGTACCTCCCTAAATTCCACGATCCTTGTCCTAGCAACTTCAACAAGGTTGTTCGGGATTGACTTTTTAAGCTCGAGAAAGATGGTAGCACGCTCTCCACAAGTCAGCGCCAAAGGAATAACAGAAACAACATGGACTGGTGCAGTGTAATGAACTGAAGTTTCAACAAGTGCACCTAGGATCTTGAGTAGTGCATCCTTATGTACATTCTCTGTGTCGAACAATTATGCGCGTGCAAGTTGTAAAACTACAGTTAAGATGCCAAATGGAGAATTTAAATCCAAACTTATAACAATGCAACCCCCTTTCTGTCTCATGTCAGCGAGAAATTCAGCAGTATAAGAAAAATCACCTTCCAAAATATAACCAAATATGACTATAGTCCAAACAATGATGTCGCAGATTGGTATTACAAGAAGATTCCATATATCTGAGGGCATGAACTTGGTAGGACTCGTACTAAAGGTAGTCCAGAATGCACAATTTCTTGTAGCACCATAAAAGGTGGTAAAAACAAAATTAGAACCAGGGTCAAATGGAAAGTCTAATCCGGATTCATCAGGTGGATGGTGGAGCAAAGAAAATGGAAATTCAGCATGACCAAGTTCATATATGGGATCAAATTGACTCCTGTGTAGAAGCTGCTCATGATTGTAACCTATGTGCAGAAGTTGATCATGATTGTAAGCTGGAAAAAAACAAGGTATCACCCCTAAGCATGGAGCAATCCCAAGTCCAAGTTGAGGGCATAGTAGTTTAGACTGTCCAGCAAGAAATTGGTAACAAACATCTAGAACTTTGTGAATATCAAACATGACCAGGAAATAGGGAATATATAATGTAGAATTAATCCCTAATGAAGGCTTCTTTGTGATTGCAACAACAAAATCTAGAGGTTCGTCTCTGATAGTAATAGTTTCATTAATCCGTACCACCATTATGAAAGTTAAAGCATGGTGTAACACACTTAGCTCAAGAGTCCTTCCACTCAAAAAAGACCTCAGCTGATCAATTATGTATTGCTCCTCAATTGTAGTAGTAGCATCAGCAACAGAACACATAAATGAATTTTCTAAAGACTCCCCCAGTAACGTGTACATCGCGCAAGATTTTATGGAATTACCATTGTGTGCAACACTCATATCAACTCTACCCAAAGCAACCTTAAATACCTGCAAAGTGTCAAACCACTTGTCCACATAACTTGCCTTATGAACTAGTCCAAACGGAGAAAATAAGAGTCCAACAGCTTTTTCCACCCGAACATGCGGTGATTGCTTGGAGTAACTGTCATCTAATACCTGCAGCCCTCGCTGTATTTTTTGTTCCCTAGCAATCTCTTTGGATTTAGATAACAAGAATCCGGAAAAATTGCACACTTGCCCAGTATCAACCCAATTGCATTTGTGTAAGCCAAAAAGCGATATCTGATTTTGATTAGCCCTGCCAATTTCTTCAAGATAACTACTCAACCATGGAATTGTGCCAAACCATAGGGTACCATCAAATGGAAAATTTATTACGTCAAAGCTCACACTCGCATTCGACACCACAATTCCTTGGCTAGTAAAAACCAGGAAATCCAATGTATCCCATTGAGGAAATTTGTCAAACACCCCAGTCATAGTAGAATCTCGTGAATTTTCTTCCTCCCCATCATCAGATCTGGTGGTATCATCTAACACCTCTGTATGGACTTTGGTTGGGAAGCTGGCATTTGCATAGCAGCTATCGCTGCAAACTGTGGAGACTGTAGTAACAGAATTGTTTCCCTCGTGGACAAGAGCATTAAGATCATGAATGTCGGAGCTCACTACGACGAGTGAAATTTCGTCGAGCACATGATCTTCAGTGATAGCACAAGGTTCCTGTACCAATTCCACTACCTCTACTGAATTTGCATTTCAAATTTGAGGTGCTTCTATATCTTCAAGATTGACAATCTCAGTACTGCTTCCAGTAATCAATGTCAAGGAATCTAATTTTTCATACTTCACTGGCAATTTATCGAACATATGGTTTGCCTTTGAGTTTTCAGTTTCATAAGCTGTTTCAAATGCTGATGTCTTCGGAAAAAGGCTCGAAACAAGAAAAGGAGACACCATAGATGATTGTGAAACTATAGGGACAGTATCAATGTAGTCAAAACTAACATATGAGGAACCAACTACCGAATATATGGCAGTTTGTTGTCGAAAGTGGTGAGCAAATTTCGCTTTGAAATGCGTCCAATCAAAAAATTGCTTGTTCCGAAACAACCAATTGAACCAATTAAGAGTTTCACCATCGAGGTAAAAGGAAGGAAGAGGTAACCAATCCTTCTCGGTGAAGCCAAGGTAAATGAAGTATCGTACGGCCCGAAAAAGCCAACTTCTAGGTTGCCGCTGCCGCTGAATCGATCTAGTACCTCCATTGGAGTCCGATGGATGAAAGCACCAATGTTATGAACTCAACAAGACGATGCCTCGATTAAACTTCCAAATAAACTAATTATAATAGAAATACAAAGGATATAATCATAAGCTAAGAAAATAGCAACAGAGAGAAAGGAGATGAGGGAGACAGAGCCACAGAGAGAAATAGCGGGGGAGAGATACGGAAGTTTCTACAATATTTTCAGCCTATCATATCCGTGTTCACGCCTAGTCCCTTTTAACTGATTCCTTATTGCACTTCTTGGGCCTGGATCCCAAATTAATCTTTTTGAAGGTCTTCTGGCCCTGTGGCTTCTTCTCGACCCAATAGTTCTTCTAAGCCCAATAGCTTGATTCATAACAAGTACGTTGTTACAACTGTGCCAAAATCCCTTTATACTATTGTCTTATGCACTTTTGAGTGCCAGAATGAAAATGGAAAAGAGAAATTATCGAAATAGACTGAGCTGTTTGTTTATAAAACATTTTCTTTTGGGAAATTTTAAATTAAATAATTGCCATAACTCATAAGTAGGAGTTGATGTATTCACGTATATATGCAACGTACAATTATGAGAGACACCCTATATATGATATTACATAAATGTGTATACAAGTTATATGTACTCAAAGTATAATATATGAAAGACCATATGCTATACGTACACTATTACATTACTGTATTATATATACAAATATATATGTACTAAAGTATAATTATAACATATGTACTATAACATTACTTAAGACCTATAGCTCTTATGGAAAACTTATCTCCTTTTCTTCTTCATCATCGATAGATAAAAAGACTTCATCCAAAGCTGAGAGCTCAACTTCATCATCACAATTTCTATAGAGGCAATTTATCCCTTGAGATTGGTTGTTCGATTCATGTACTCTACATAAAACCAATTCCTGAAAATAAAAAGAAAAAAAATATAAATTGGAAAAAAAAATTGAGATGCAAATATATTTTTTTCTTGACTCGAAAGCTAAGTTAGCAGCTGGGGCGTGAAGTACTACTTTTGGTCATGTCATTTGACTTTGAAAGGTCAAAATTCATGAATTCCACGAGAGGTGGTTAAATAACATGCTATATACATAGAAATTTTCATCTTTTCCATTTATAAATCTTTTTATATTGGTTTAGAGGTTAAATAATAGTATAGACTGGTTAAACTCACCATTGAGCTAAGGGAAAAATTTAAATTCTACAATTAAATTTTTGAATACTTAAGTAATTTCTTATTATTCAATATTTGACATAAACGTCAAATCATTATAGGGTTCATTTATACGATTGACAGTGTAAATGAATTTTATGCTATGTAGGAGCTAATATCAGTTTATGTAGGAGTGAATTAACTTGGGGCGTAACCTTAAAAATCTGATTAATGACATATTAAAACCTGTTAAACTAGTCATTCTCGTGGATGCTATTTAGAAATTAGTCCGTACTTATTTTGTCTTGAAATTTTAAACTAAAAATCTTTAACTTCAGGACTTTTTTGTCCCGAAAAATTGAACTGAAAAACAGAAATTTATGACGCACTGGTTAATTCCTAAATAGCAGCCCTTTAAAGTGGCTACCTGGTGTCATTTCCATGTTAAACTACAATACTGATAATGTAAACTTTTTTTACACTTGACCTTATATATGTAACTTAAGGTTTAATTTATAAAATTTAAAACATTAAATAAAATCCTATTAGATAGGATGGAAGGAGTATTTACTTACCATTTCATTTTCTCTTTTCTTGGTAGGCTTCTTGAAGGAATTACTGCTAGAGAGGTGGAATTCTTCCATAATCCAATTACTTTGTACTTCATGAATATTATAGTACACAAAATACTTCTTTATTCCTACCATTTTTTCTCCAAAATTTTCAAGTATAATTGGCTCATTCATATGTATTTCCTTCCAATATCCTTGTCTTGTAGCTCGATTTTCCTTCACTTGGCTGAAGAAATACCACTGATTTTTGCCCCACAAAGCCTTCTCTAATTGTTCCAACATATGCAAAATAGGTAAAAATAAAAGAAATGAGTAATTCAGAAGGATGAGGGAAAAAAAAAAGGTATATAACCCCTGCTTCTAATTTTATCCATTAGGGTCAATTTAATGATTTTTATAGTGATTTGGACTTGTACAAGTTCTGTCTAATAAAATAGGACTTGGAACTCTATAGATTATACAAAAAATAGTACGAGCAGAAAATGTTCCAATGAAAAAGTGTTAGTGAAAAGTTTGTTAATAGAACTTCTATAAATATGGTTCATTTTTTGAGGAAAAAACGAGGGAAAAAAGTTTGATCTTATTGTTGAGTTGAGACAAAAATTTAATAATTTATAGGATATTTTAACGCAATAAATCAATTAAAAATAGGTTCTCAAGTTCCAAAAATGTTTTTAAAGGACCTCCTATAAATACACTTCACTCTTTGGAGATAAATCAAACGAGAAAAAGGAAAGATCGATATTATTTTTTCAATATTGCCAAGAAATGTAAATTTTAAGATAGTAAAACAATAAAATCAATTAAAAAAAGGTTGTCTCAGGCTCCAAAAATGATCTTTTCTTCATGGGGACGAGTCTAATTAAAAGTAAGCTAGAAGTTTTTATTATTTTATTAAAGGCAAAACGAAAATATAAAGAAGTAAAGTAAATTATGATAGAGAAATATATTCAAAAAATATACCATTGAGTTCTGAAGGATCAGAAGAAGAAAAATCAATATAAGGAATATTGATGCTGGGATAGAACGATAAGCCTGCAACTTTACTTTTGAGATAATACATAACAATCTCTTCATCTGTTGGATCGAAACAAAAACCTGGAGGAAGACCAATTACTCTTTCATCCTCCATTATCACTACCAAATATTTTCTGAAAGCGAACTGAATGGAATTGTTATATGTAGGAAATTTAAACCTTCTTCTGGCTAAGCTTCCTTTTAGGGTTTGTTTAATTTAGGAGTTGATAAAGAAGAAGAATGATAAGAGTTGACGAATGTTGCTGTTTTCTTTTTATAGAAAGAAAATATATATACTTTAGTAAAATGGCCCTACACTCTACTTCTATTCCTCGCTTGTAGTAGATTTAAAATAGACGCAACAGGTTCAGAATTTTAACTCTATACAGAGACGGATCTAGAATTTTTATAATATGGGTGCACCACTAAAAAAAAAAGAAAATATTAAATGGAATTTATTCATTGCTCGTCTAGGTAAATAACTCAGCATTCAACCAAGTACATCATTTAAGTTTTTTGGAGTATGGGTGCCAGTGAATTATATTAGACTAATTCTAAAAATTATGTACATAAAATACCTAGTTTGACGAAAAGACCATGGGTTCATGTATCCCATATATTTGTCTGTAAATCCCTTGTATAAAATTATACTTCATGTCGAAAGTATTAGATTAAATGAATCCGGAACCATTACATTGGATCTGCTTCTGTTTAATCCGAACCTTACATTGGATCTACCGGTTTTAACTTCTAAATTCGCTGCACCTCATTAGAGCGGGAGATAGTGGCGGTTGATTAGAAATGAAGAGTGTGTAAGTAATGAAAATAGTTTTACAAGGGGTCAAAGGCTGCTGCTAATTGGAGTAGTACTATATAGTATGAAATATGAGGCAGAGCCGACCCTTAAGAATGTGAGTTCGTTAATCTATTTGCTTTACATTGATGCTACATATAATGTAAGAGAAAATAATTAGTCGTGAAGTTAGTGATAAATATTGTCTTTATGTTCTTTCATAAATTTATATATCAGTATAAAAGAGCTTTTAGTACCTTTTTTTTATATTTAAAAATATTGGTTTAAGATGAACTTAAATGAGACGACATAAATTTTCAGGGAAAACCGTTGTCACTATTCTTCGGGTACACACAGGGTAATTTTATCACTGAGCGATAGCTTATAGACCACACAGGAGATGTAAATCGCGCTAGGCAAGCTCGGTGCGAAACGAACTTTGACGCTGGTAAGGAGAATCAATCTCAAGCTTTCCATGTGAGAAACATGTCACCCAATCAACTCAGTCAACCCTTGCAGGTAATGAGACGACATCATTAATCAATAAAAATTTATATAATCGGCGACCAACATTAAGAGAGGGTGGTAGGGGTTAGGGTACGTGTTGATTAGAAATGAAAAGTGGGAGGGGATAACGTTTCTTGAGAGTTCATAGGCGGCGGGTAATCCAAGAGAGACAAGTACTGATTGAATTGTTTTTACAGGAAATGGATGTGTTTTCACTTTGAAGTAACTTCATTTACAAACATCTGTGATTTTGTCGTTTAATTATCTTTAAAATACTAAAAAAGCAGTTCTATTGAGATAAGCAATATCGTAGCTTACTTAGTGGAATTAATGAACTGAGTGGATGATCATGATGATGAACTGTGAAACAAAAGTAGTAGTTTGATTTTACGTGTGCAAACACAAATATACACACGTAAAATGTTGTTGAAAAGGACCACATTAAAAAAATGCAATCAAAGCATGAAGTTGAGTATGATAAGCTCTCTTCTTTTTTCTTCTCTTTGTTTCCTTTGATAGTTCTCGAGTCATTGTAAGTAAACATCAATCATCATGAAAAACAGAAAAAAATAGTAACGAAGAGTACCAAAATCAAATGACCAAACCTCATATGGTATAAGTGTGAATAGAATTTGGATTGAAGCAGTTTTATCTGAATTTTCTTTTAAATCTGAGATCAGTACATATAAAGTAGATTCACAAAGATTAGCTAGTCATTGTCTCAAATTAATTTTAAGTGTTTAATATATATATATATATATATATATATATATATATATATATATATATATATATATATATATATATATATATATATATACTTTTAGTTAGCCTAGCAATTTTCAGAAGGAAGGGGTGTGCATATATATAGTTGGGCTAAGATCAGCCTAAAGACACTGTTAACATAGTGTGTCAGTGTGATAATGTTCACTTTGGACCAAGCCCATAAGTTTTTTCCAAAGACCTAATCACACTATTAAGAGTATCTTACACCATATATGTATCATATTTTTCTTATCAACTATTAACGTGAAACTTTATTCGTAAACTCAACAATATCTTCCTCGAACTAAGTTTCACATGGTCCACATCACCAAGCCTCTCGAAATAAGTTCTACATAGCCTATTGCCAAGATTCATGGGCTTATCTAGAAATTAACCGTGTGCCACAACATCTGAGTATTTATGGTCACCAAAGTCCACAAGTCGGCTTCTTCTTTGTGTGTGTGCATCTTTTAGATCTCGGTGAAGGCAGTAAAACCAAGCCACATGTCGTCATACTGTCATCTCCATACTCATCTAATCGAACTATTAGCTCTAATAGTAATTGTTGGGCTAACCATAGATACTTTTAACGTGGCGTGATATTATTCGCTGTGGGTCGAGCCCGCATAACCTTTTTAAAAGGGCCTCACACCATTAAAAGTATTTTATACCTTACATGTAGCTTTTTTTCTTACTAACTACTAAAGTGGGACTCGCACAGCTAACTCATATAATGTGAAAACTAGAGAGAGAAATTTAACATTTGGAGGAAACTTGTAAATTGTATAACCAAAATCTGATCCGTGTTCGTTACAAATCAGCTCATATAGTTTTGTACTAGTATAACTTCCCTAACTAACTAGCGGAATCCTTGTTAACTAATACACGTGTGAAATGAAGTGTATAAATAATATAAATACAATGTGGAAACTAATATGTGATACAGCTGGATCCTACTAAGCACTGGATAGTTCTCTAACATACTTGAGATACTAAGCCTAGCGCCCGGTTAATTCAACTTGGATCCTGTATGTCAGAAGCTTCACCGCCAACAACAAAACCTAGTGTCCGGTTAATGCGATGGGGATCCGTTACCTGCGAAGCTTCACCGGCAACAGCCCCCCTCAAGTTGGAGGGTGCAGAGATAACCACCTACTTGCCGAAAAGATCTCGGTGAGAGGATCCGATAAGGCCTTAGTGAAGATGTCAGCCAACTGAGAATGGGAAGGCACGAAAGAAAGTGAGATCAAACCGGATTGGAACTGCTGACGTACAAAGTGGCAGTCAAGTTCAACATGCTTGGTGCATTCGTGGAACACCGGGTTCCTAGCGATATGAATCGATGCTCGACTGTCAGAATGTAACTGAATAGACAGCGCCGACGGGATGAAGAGATCATCAAGAAGCCGAATCAGCCAAGTGAGCTCAGATACAACACGGCACATGGAGCGATACTCGGCCTCGTCAAATAACAAATAGACGGAGGGATGCTTCTTGGACTTCAAAAAGGTCGGGGACCCACCAAGACATAAAAAAAATCCACCAACAGAGCGACGAGAATTCAGACACGAACCCCAATCAAAATCACAAAAAGCAAGCCAAAAAAAGGGAAGCAGACATGCAAAGCTCCAATCTTGGGTCACGTAAGAGATAACAGAGATAATGTTGGGTAGCAAAGAGATGAGTATCCCTAGGGTTCTACATAAATTGGCTGAGATGCTGAACAACAAATGAAAAATCAGGCAGGGAGTGAGTCAAGAAATTAAGTTTGACGAGGAGCCATCGATACATAATGGGATCAGACAAAGGAGCACCATCATCAGCACGGAGTTTGCAAGAGATCAACACAGCCAAACTCATGTAGAAGCTCAAGTGCAAATTCATGTTGACTCAAAATGATCCCAGAAGATTCAAAAAAGACCTCCATCCCCAAAAAATAAGATAAGTCCCCGGGATCCTTGATTTTGAATGCAGAATCTAGGAACACTTTCAAATCATGCAATTCCATGCGATTGTTCCATGTAAGTAATATATCGTTGTCACGATCCGGAATTACCACCGTCGAGATCCTGATGGCGCCTAACATTTCACTTGCTAGGCAAGACAACATTAGAGATTCATTAAGCAAATTCTTAAGCCTTTCAGTGATTAATAACAATTAAACCACAACAAATTAAAAGAGTGCGGAAATCCATAACAATCTTAATATTTATACACAACTACCCAGAATCTGGAGTCACATTTCACGAACCTCTAATATTTAACAACAAGTAATTTGTCTGAAGGAAATACAACTATTTTCGATACAAATGAAACAGTAAAGAGAATGTATGGAAGGGGACGCCAAGGCCTGCGGACGCCAATAGGACTACCTTGGGTCTCCGATCAGATGAAGCCAGCAACTAAACTCAGGATCAACTCGGTCCGGTACCAAAATCTGCACAGAAAGTGCAGAGTGCAGTATCAATACAACCGACCCCATGTACTGTTAAGTGTCGAGCCTAACCTCGGCGAAGTAGTGACGAGGCTAAGACAAGACACCCACAAAACCAACCTGTGCAGCATAACAATATATATATATATATATATATATATATATATATATATATATATATATATATATATATATATAGCAATAAAAGGAACAAGACAAGTAATATTGGGAGGGGGACATGCTGAGGGAATTACAAGATATAGGATCACAGCAGAATTAAGAACTTTGATCAACCACAATGATTAAAACAGATAAGGACCAATAACCACAGAAAAAGAAAGTACACGGCATCACCCTTCGTGCTTTTACTCTCAACCTCACCATATGAATCAAATAGAAACAGCACGGCATTACTCTTCGTGCATTCTCTCTCTCATAACATGGCACGGTATCACCCTTCGTGCATTAACACTCATAATATGGCACGACATCACCCTTCGTGCGTTATCACTCACAAAACATGGCACGGCATCACCCTTCGTGCATTAGCACTCTTCCTCACCAAAACAAGGAACAATAATAACAGGGGGATAGAAATGACAATAACAAGTCTTACTTCAACATTTGATCCCACAATATCAACCTCAACTTTGAGTCAATACTCAATCAATACCAAGGTCCATAAACATGATAAGATTGATCAACATAACAAGTAGCTAGTCTAAACATAGATAATATGATCAAA